TTCCTCCCCCTTTTTTACTGTTTTGAAATACGTTTGGTGTGCAGTGTCCTCCTTGACAACAGCTTGTTGAACAAGTGAGCCTTGTTCAGAAAAATCAGAAGTCAATAAACTTAAAGATACACAAAGTAGTTACCATGCATATATGCTAACACAGTATATAAAACAAGTTATCATTACAATATGCTAATGCAGCTTGAAACTTAGCATCCTTTGCAAGCAACCAGTTTAAGCTGTCTGTGGTTTCTGGAATGCAGTTAATTTTCAGTCTCTGTCCATCCATCCTTGGTAGCTGCTTTTTGCCCTTAATAACAAATTTAACAAACATGTTAATAACAATTTAGACAGTCTCAGGTGGCTAGTGTGGTAGAAACAGATACAGAGGCTAGGCAAACATGCAGTTTCTCTGCTTTTTTTGAAGTAAAGCAGTAGAAGTAATTTTATGGCTTTTTAGTGTCCTTTACTTCAAAGTCGCCTTTTGCTGGAGCTTGAAGTAAAGCAATAGAAGTAATTTAATGTCTTTTTAATGTCTTTTTACCTTGAGGTTGAATGTTGAAAGGTGGTGCTTTAGCTGGAGCTTGAAGTAAAATCAAGAAGTCATTTTAATGCTTTTATTGTCTTTTACCTCAAGGTTGACGGTTACTGCGCAACCTTTTCCATCGAAGATCTGTTTCGTTGTTGGTTGACGAATTTTTTCCTAGAGCATTTTGCAGTCTTACTTCTTGAATTATATTGGTTAGAGCCACTATAATCAGTTTTAACTGGGTTTTTTAGGCAGCTATGACCCACAAGCAGCTATCGCAGCGCGTCCAATGGACTCTTTCAGCAGCAGCACGGAGGCAGCCGGCGCAGGGGCAGCGCTCTGTCCCTGCACTGCACGACTGCCTGTCTTTTTTCAGAGGGGACAAAACTGACTCCCCCACGGTGTCCTCTGTTGTTTCACTGCTTATTGGATTGACATGTTTTAAGCACGTTTCCTCAAGCTGGGACACTCGGCAAGCTGGCCGTGGGCAAGATGGTGATTCCCAAGCCGCGGCGTGGCCGCCACGTGGCTGCAGCTTGGCAGTGTCTCGTGGACTCAAGGTCTGTCTCTCCCTAACAACCACACAGTCTGTGCCATGTGCTCGGTCCTGGCCGCGTAAAACCCAGCTCAAGTCCTTTGTTAGGTCCTTCAGGTTTGCACACAGTCCTCAGTCTGCACGTGGTTCTCTCCCACCCCGTTTCTTTCTTGTCTCGGTGTTTGGGAGAGTATTTTGTCTGTTAAGGCTCATGGGGGAAACGGGAGGTTTAAAGTTTTTCTCCGTGAACCAGTTTAAGTTTCTCTGTGAGATTTTTAAAGTGTCCACATCTTCTATCTCTGCTTTCTCTCGAGCAGTCTCTCCAATTTTTTTCCAAGCAGTTACACTGAGGATTCTGCTTAGCAGAAATCCTGTTATAGTTATTTTCTATCATTTCCCTTGAATTTTAACTTCCCATGCCGGCTTCTTACCTTGAATTCTCTGTAGCTTTACCTCTTCTTTCTTTCAAAGCTTCCTCTGCCAGATCTCTCGTGCTCACAATGCTTACATTTTCAGAGCTCCCATGCAGTCCTCTGCTGCACGACATCCCAGTCCTCTTTTTGCACTGGTATTCGACATCCTTTGTTTAACGACGTTTTCTGCCTGCTTTTAGCTCGGTATATGACGTCCGGCTTTTTTTTTTGGAGAAAAGCTTTCCAAGTTTTAAAAACAAGCCCATCCGAACGCTACCGAATTTTGCCTTGTTACAAGGCATTCTCTAATCATACCTGATACAGGGAGTTGCCTCACGTTGAGGGGGCCGTTTGTGGTTTATAAATGTAATATAATAAGACCAAGCAGCTCAGTCAGCAAGCAGTCAAATCTCTTTATTTAAAGGAAAATGCCCCCTTTATATACTCTCGGGGGGGCATGTGGCCCACCTGGCCAACGACAGCAGGACACACACTGCCCATGTGCCAGTATGCTGTCCAGGGACTTCGAGACCCAGAATGCACACCCTGCATCCCTGGGACACGCCCTCTACAGTGTCCCTTGCCTCTCACCAGTAAACCATGTCTTCAAGTGCCACATCTACACGGCTTTTAAATCCCTCCAGGGATGGGGACTCCACAATACCCTGGGCAGAGTATTGCAATGCTTGACCACCCCTACTGCAAAGAAATTGTTCCTAATATCCAATCTAAACCTTCCCTATTGCTGCTAGTGGCCATTTTCTCTGGTCCTGATGATTGGTGCCTGCCAGAAGAGACTGACTCCAATAAATCACCCACTGCCATTGCTTTGCAGCACTGGAGAGATCCGTGAGGAATAGTTCAGATCAGCCCTGTCTGCCATGGCCTTTCCTCTCCCTGTTCTCTCCTGTCCTGACACTGACCCTGAGCAGTCACCACGAGCACCCTTCGCCTCTGCAGAGCAAAGGTGTTCCCACACCACAGGGACTCAGCCATGGGAGACTGGAAGGCTTAGATAATGTTATTCCAAAGCCTTGCTGTTGAATCACGAGGTGCAGAAAGGACTCCCTTTCTTTCTAAACCTCTTTTTCAGAGAAGGATTTAGGTGTGGCTGAATCCTATCTTGTGTCAACAGTTTAAATTTAAATGAATTATAGAGGTGTGATTAAACCACGTTGTCCCGCAGGATTTAATGATGGCAAAATGGGTACATTTGTACAAATGAATTATTTATTATGACAAATTAACAAACAGGTGAACAGACAAAAGATCTTAATCAGAATTCTTTACTACCCAGTGTAAAAGCTAAACATCTACTAGTGGGGTATCACATAGCAAAGTGATACAGTGCAGTGTAACAAAGCAATTATGTTAAAGCAACTGTATCGAAGGTAGCGTAAGAAACTACTGTTAAGTGGAGACTGATACAACTCACCATGGGAGGTAGCAGGCAGATCTCTCTTGCTCTTAACCCCTGGGCAGCAACCATGAAGAGGCGGCCCTGCTTTATGGGAGAAGGTCCAGACTTCAAGGAAGTGTGTGAAAGAGTCTGCCATATGGAAGCTGGACAGGGCTTTTATAGTTCTGAAGTGATAGATTGGTAAACATAAATTTACAAGACGGCAGGCGAGCTTATCTGTCAAATCCTGCTTCAAAAGCAAGGGGTGTGTTCAAAGTCTGGTGAAACAGGATGGTTTTAGCCCAGTTTAACAGCAAGGCAACACAGGGGTGCCAGCAGTTGACAACTTGCACAGTATGGGTTCCCTGACTGGATTTTAGACCTTATCACGGTGGGGCTATCCTGCCACAGGCTCCTTCCAAGCCCGTGTGTCAAAGGAATGCGTAGCAGGAGGATAAGGGTGCACTGGAACAGTCTCAGGAGGCCCCTCAGTCTCTGCCACTGCAGCAGGGAGGGACGAGGGGCAGCCCCAGCACTCCCACACTGATGGGGCGCTGCCTGGTTGGCCAAGGGCAGTTGTGTCAACAGCAATAAGGGCATGTCCCACCCACCAGGAGGGGTATAAAACCAGGGTGTTTTGGGCAAAGCAGCATTCCCTGACCCCAAGGGCATCTGGAGCCAAGTGGTTGCTGTTGGGTTTGGTGCTGCCTGAATACCAAGACCTTCATCAGGTAGGTGACTGTGGGATCTCATTCTGGAAAGCTGCCCATTCAGGTTCTCAGCTCAAAGCCCATCTGCACAGACTCACCTAAAGGACAAACAGCTGGAAGTATCCAGAGATGTCTGGGAAAGAGAATAAAAGCCTTCATAGGAGTCGAAGAGCCCAGAATATGTGGAAGGTGAAACTAAGGTTTCTTAAGTAGAGGAGAGACTGGAAATGTGCCTGGATGTTGCAGGAGGGACCCGAAAGCTTCTTTGTTGGGAGACTGGGAGCTTAAGTTAGCAAAGTAGGGAGATATTTTTCCCACAGCAGTGGGGTGATTTCCTATCATTTCAGGCTTTCAGTAACTCCAAAGGTTGATTTCTGTTTCCATTTCTGGGCACCAAGACACTTTCCTTTCCTCTGGCTCATCCCTGGATTGGGGCTGCATGGGGCAGGGGGGGCAAGTGTGGGACTGGGGACTGTTTTTGATGGGAAGCCTGGGAATGGTCTGAAGATAGAGATGGGCACTGCTAAGCCATGCTGGGAGGACTTTCCTGATCCAAGGGAAGAAGAAGTGATTGGGCAGAATGTTTGGGGCATGGGTTTGATCCATGAATTCTGAGGGAGTAAAAGTCCTTTAGTTCTGTAACTGTCAATGGCAAATTCATCTCTTTAGTTCCCAGATTTGACTGGACATTTATTTGAATTGAATTGGAAACAGTTGGTCCCAGGTCTGCACTCTGTTCTCTGGGGAAAGCCTATGGAAGACCTTAGACAAAGTTCTTGGAAAAGGATCATCTTAGATAATGGATTTCCCAGAGACTGAGACATCCCAAAACACTCCCAAGATGTTCAGGGTGTCACAGACCTCAGAACTGTTCTTAAAAGAAAGGTAGATGAAAGATCACATGCTGTGTTTGGAGGCAGCCCCTCTGCAGTTTGGGGAACCCCAGTGCCCAGGCTTCTGCACCCCCTGGGGTCCTCCGTATCCTCATTGCCTTGCTGTCCCCTTTGCAGCCCTGCAAAGACGTGGGAGTGGTGGATCAGCCATGAAGATCCTGTACCTGCTCTTCCCCTTGCTCCTCCTGCTGGTCCAGGGTGCTGCAGGTGAGTGTGGAGTTGGAGGAAGTGTGATCCCCATCACTGGGGATTGCCGTGTCCTGGGAAGTGACCACGTTACTTGGAAGGATGGAAATATTGGGGGGGATTGAGGAAAATGGAGTTTTTCAAGTGAACTTCCAACAGACACAGACATGGGGTGTGTGGAGCCCCTGGAAATACAAGCCAAGCTTCCTCTGTGGGTCAGCAAGGTGGGTGGTTTCAAGCACCAGCTCTGCACCCAGATGTTCCTTTTTCAGTGTCTTTGGGTGGTCTCCTGCCCTATGCAGGGATGGGGGAGAGCGTCAGGACTGTTTAGACTGGTGGGTCTCCGAGGCACAAAGCTGTCCCTTCTCATCTAGTGCTGCATCACCTGAGTGTCCCAAAACCTCATTACCCCAAGGCATGATCCCTGCAAGGGCTGGGCAAGGACTTTCCCTCACAGGTCACACCAATCATGGCACAGCCAGGACAGGCATGTGGGATGGGAGGAGTCCCCTGCTTTCCAGCTGTGCTGGTGCAGGCAGTGTTGGGAATGTAGCTGGGGAGCCAGGAAGGCTCTTCCTTGACCTCATGCTGGTCCTTCCTACTCTCTGCTCTTGTGTGCACCAATTTAGGGGGAAAGAGTCCTTCTAGGTGAGACATGTTGCTCTTGAAGCTGTATCTGTGGGGAGGTTGGAGCTGAGCACAACTATTGGCCTGAGATCCACATGGAGTGTCAGCCTTTCTGCAAACCTACACAGCTCTCCCAGACTGTTTTTATTGTTCTCTGTGTGCCTTTCCCCATAGCATGGGATAACACACTCAAATGCAAATCAACCGGGGGATTCTGCGGATTTTAGAAATGCCCCTTTGGTACAAGAGCTACTGAACAATGTACTGTTTCTACTTTCTGTTGTAAAAGGTAAGTAAGAGTCCCCTGGCTGAAGAAAGTTTTTCCTCCTTTTTCCACAGAATTATTTGTTACAAATTTATTTCTAGCTAATGCCTGCTAAATAATCTCCTGCATTTCTGGTTAGTGGGAGAAGCCCAAGAATGAAGGCAAAAGCCCTTTTGGGTTTGGACCAGCCCTGAGTGGGGCTGCAGGAGCCCCAGGTCAGCCAGCGCCTCCCCACTCTCCTCCAGTGCCTCCCCACTCTCCTCCAGTGCCAGGAGGCTCATTCAAGCTTTGCCGAGGACTCACCAAAACCACTAAAGAGTGAAAAGTTTGTGGTGCTTGTGCAGCACCCAGGACATGATCCAGCTTTTGCTGCATCTGCACAGACTTGGAGTCAGGGCTGTTACCACTAAGATAAACCAGGTCCAAACTGTCTGCATGAAGGACTGGACCTCACCTGTGCTGAGCTTGAGTCCCTGCACCACAGACTGGATGGTCCTTGTGGGGGAGGTGGGAGAGAGTGGGAAGAAAACTTACGATAGAGAATGTGCGTCTCTGCTTTCTTACAGCATCTGAAATGTCCAAGCAGGACGTTCCCCTCGCTTCTGGCTCCTGGAACCATCTCCTGAGGTCCTCTCCCCTCCCTGCCTCTGTCATGTCCAGCTCCTGGCACAGCAGCAGTGGCAGCTGCTCCTGCTGGGTGCTGCTGGGCTGGAGACATCTCGTCCCAGCCGTGGGGTCTGTGGGGCAGAGGCTGCTTTTGCCAGCTTGAATAAAGATGAGCAGTTTGGCATTGCAGGGCTGGGCCGTGTGTGCGTGTCCTTGGCATGGAGGCTGTGCTGTGCCTGCTGGCTGTGGGGGTGGCAAAGGTGGGTTGGTATGAGGAGAAGCAGCTGGGGATGTTGGGGGTCCCCAGTGTGTGTGTGTCCCTGGGGATGCTCTTGCCTGGCAGTGGAGTGGGGACACAGAGCCTGTCAGTGCCTGTTGGTGCAGGGTTTTTGTTGTGCGAGTGATGGAGCAGCTCTGCAGATGCTCCCACTGGGAAGTAGGATTTGTGTCCTGGTCCTCCAAGTCACAGGTGTCCCTTGTCCCTAATAGCCATGCCTTTATGAACAGAACTGTGCTGGATGTTGTGTATCTTCGGTGGGCATGACCATGGTTGCCCACATGACCTGTCGCTGATCCTGCTCCTTGTCGTGTTCCTCTGTGCTCAGCCCTCCTTGCTGTGGGCAGTGCAGGAGCTGTGTTGCTCCACACCCCATCCCACCAGGCAGGAGGAGGAGGAGGCCATGAAGCTCCTGGTCTGGGTGACCTGTGGAATGGCTCCAACTGACCCTGGCCTGGAGGTGTTCAAATTTATTTACCCAAGGGGAGTAAACAGGTTGTCTTGTCCTCTCTGCCCAGCTGCAGGCAGTCTGGGATGACTGTGCTCTGCACAATCAAAGGCAGTGGCCTCTCCCTTTCTGCAAAATTACACCTCAGACTTTAGTTCTGGTTTGTTCCATGTCTGTGTGTGTCCATGTGCAGAGAATGTTTCCTTCCAAGAATCATAGAACCACATAACTGTTAAGGTTTGAAAAGCCCTCTAAGATTATTGAGTCCAACCATTCTCCCAGCACTGCCAAGCCCACAACTAATCCATGTCCCCAAGTGCCACATCTACGTGGTTTTAAATGCCTCAAGGGATGGACCCCAAACACTGCCCTGGTCAGTCTGTGCCAGTGTGTGACCACGCTTTCAGTGGAGAAATTGTTCCTAATATTGAGTCTAATCCTGCCGTGGTCTTTCTTCTCTCATGTTCTCCTCTCCTGACCCTGCAGCAGTCACCACGAGCACCCTTCACCTCTGCAAAGCAAAGCTGGGCCCCCACCCCAGGGGCTCCTTGGGCCAGAACATCTCAAGCCACACTAATGGTGCTGTGGACAGTCAACACATGAGTTTCAGAGGGCAGACACAGAAGAGAGAGAAATGGAAAGAGGGAGAGGAAGAGAAAGATTCTCTTTTTTCCAAGAGTACATGAGCTTTTCTTTTCTCCATGTTCTTTCCAAACAACCCAGACAAACCTCTTCAAGTGAAATGAGGTGAGGTAAAACTTTCCTCTCTCTGTATGAAGATCTGCAGGTTTGCAATATTCAGCCTGGCCTTGCACATCTCTGGCTACCTGAGTATTTAAAGAATCTCTGAAATGAGAGGACAAAAAGAAGGAAACCCTTTCCTCAATGCTACCATTCCCAACATCAACCAGGATGCCTTCTCCATCCCAGGCAGCTCCTGCCCAGCCCGTGTGTCACAGGACGTGTTGCAGGATAAGGGTGACATTGCAACAGCCCCAGGAGGCCCCTCAGCCTCTGCCACTGCAGCAGGGAGGGACGAGGAGCAGCCCCAGCACCCCCACACTGATGGGGTACTGCCTGGTTGGCCAAGGGCAGTTGTGTCAGCAGCAATAAGGGCATGTCCCACCCACCAGGAGGGGTATAAAACCAGGCTGTTTTGGGTAAAGCAGCATTTGCTGATCCCCAGGGCATCCAGACACGAATGATTCCTATTACTGCCTGAACACCGAGATCCTCATCAGGTAGGTGACTGTGGGGACTCTTTATGGACAGCTGCCCATTACACCTCTCTCCTCAATTCCCAACACTTTCTAATTGTGTCAAATTTATCCATCAGAGCTTTCCATGGAAGAGGAATAATTTGCTGTATAACACAGTGATTATTGGTGCCCATATTGTACTGGAAGTAAAACTGGACTTCAACTGGGTTTGGAAATGTGTCTAGAGGCTTGAGGGATGTCTGTGAGACCTCATGTTCTGGGTCACATGGGGACTGTCTTGGAGAAAGTAGGGAGATTCTAATCAAGCAGCAGTACAGAGAGTTTGCATTCTTTCAGGCTTCCATTAATTTGGAAGGTTACTTTGCCCCCAGCTGTTCCGTGATTCCATGATCTAGGGGAAGGCCTCCCTACTCATTCCAGGGGAGTTGGACTGGATGATCTTTAAAGGTCCCTTCCAACCCAAATCAGTCTGTGGTTCTATTGATCATCAATGACTCACAAGAAGCCTCCCTCACCAAATGCTGGGCATCTCCAGGGACATGAGTTTCCCTCAACTCCAGAACCTAGGTCAGTTCTCCATCCTGGTTTGACTACTGGCTTTGTGTTGAGTGTTGGCACAAGCACCTCCTGACAGGCAAACCCTCTCTGCTTTGGCCTTTGGGTGAGGAGAGGCGGACACGTGAGAACAAAAGCAGTAGAAATGTGTTTCATCTGGTAACTACATTTGAAAGTCTGTCTTGTCCCACCCTTGGCTTTGTCCCTCCAGAAGCATATTTATTGCTCCTCAAGAGGTTAAGTGTTGGATGGAAAAGGCCTGAAGGAGTACAGCTTCCAAGGGAAAATACTCTGCATTTTTTTAAGTCTTTGAATGCTGTTTTGCTTACAAGTTCAATAGTGTGGCATTTATTCTGTCATGTGTGCTTTAAGAGAATTCATTTGGAATTCGTAGAGAATAAGATGACGGGGAAACATCAGCTGGATTGCCCAACAGGCCAATACTTCCCCAGCTGCTCCCAGAGTATACAAGAGGTGCTTATCGGACAACCATCCTTTGCAACAGGTCACAGAGGATGTTGTCCTCCATCACTGGTGATAGTCCCTCTGCAATTTGACATTACTGTGTGCTCTCATCTCCAGGAGTTTTGGTGTGTCCCTTCTGCAACCCTGTGAAGTCCTGGGAGAGGTGTCAGCCATGCGGCTCCTGTACCTGCTCTTCCCCTTCTTCCTCCTGTTGGTCCAGGGAGCTGCAGGTGAGAGGGGGAAAGGGAAGATGGGTGTGGTGTTAACCTTTCTGCAGTCACATACGTCTCTCCCTGATTATTGTTTTAACTCTTTCCCTGTGCATTATTTTCCGTGACAGCTGGAAAAACAGACAAATGCATAAAACGAGGAGGATTCTGCGTTTTTGGGGGCTGTCGTTTCCCCTATAAATATGTGGGAACTTGTACACTTGTGAGTCACTGCTGCAAACTGTAAGTTCTGGATATGGTTTGCTCCTTTTGGTGGTTAAAGTTAATATTTTCATTCAAGCCAGCTCCTACCTCACAGATTCTTGTGTTCATGCTCAGAGGTAAAAGCCAGGGAAAGAAAGGAAAAGTCCTTGTGGGTTTGGATGTGCCATGAGTGGGGCTGCTATGCTCCAGGTCAGGCAGTGCCTCCTCACATGCCTTTAGCTCCACAAGGCTGGCCCACTGTAAATGCAGAGAGCTCAGCTGTATTGCCCAGAGGAGAAGGCTGTCCTTGGGATAGTGTGAGGAGAAGGGTCCTGCTCCTGATATTTGTAAAGAGCCTTGGAGCCAAGGCTGTCACCACTAAGGAGAGCCCAGGGCAAGGCCAACTGGAGTTGACCTCTGTGAGGTTGAGTATTATCTCCATGCACTTGTTGTCAGTGCAGGGGAGGTGGGAGACAGTGGGAGGAAAAGTTACAATAAAGAATGTGCTTGTCTGCTTTCTTCTTACAGTATTTGGGGTTGAGACCCTGAA